TAAAATGTACCTTTTTAATGGTATTAACATTAATTCACTTTGAGTGTAAAATGTACCTTTTTAATGGTATTAACATTAATCCACTTTTGGTGTAAAATGTACCTTTTTAATGGTATTAACATTAATCCACTTTTGGTGTAAAATGTACCTTTTTAATGGTATTAACATTAATCCACTTTGGTGTAAAATGTACCTTTTTAATGGTATTAACATTAATCCACTTTTGGTGTAAAATGTACCTTTTTAATGGTATTAACATTAATCCACTTTGGTGTAAAATGTACCTCATTAATGGTATTAACATTAATTCACTTTTGGTGTAAAATGTACCTCATTAATGGTATTAACATTAATTCACTTTTGGTGTAAAATGTACCCCATTAATGGTATTAACATTAATTCACTTTGAGTGTAAAATGTACCTTTTTAATGGTATTAACATTAATCCATTATATTTTGTTGTTTAACTGTCAGGAATAGACTTTTATAGTAATGTTTTAAACGTTAATTTTAAATCAGTAACATTGTAAATTGAGGATTTTTCATGAACTTCGAGCGACTTTTAGGTCTTCTGTACATTACCACGTTGTCTCTATTCTTTCAGTTTAGATGTGTACAAGGAAGCTAACACAAAAGTAATAGGTAAGTAGTTTACATTCGTGACGTCTTAAGAAATAACAGTGTTAGATTATATATAATAATATTTGTTTTAACGCGAAGTTAAAATCATTCTTACTTTTCCATTTCATTAACAAAAGAATCAAGTAGACTTGATGATTTTTTTACTGTCAATATTTTACATTTGTTCTTGTTCCCCGTTGGAAAAACAGTAAGTCTATGGAATTTACATCGTTAAAATCAGGGGTTCGATTCCCTTCGGCGGACATAGCACGTACATTTGTTCTTCTTTCATTGGTCACTATGTTCAATATTCAACATTGCAACGTCAATGAAATCTTAACAAGGAAAACCCCCTCTATGAAGAACGAAACTGTACGTATAAATTCAACTGCTCATACATATGTTATTAAAGCAATAAAAATAACGCTTAAGCGTTGTCAAAGTAATGAAAACTAACTACGTTGATTTAGTAACACAAACTACACTGACAAATCACTGACTAATGTTGAAATATAGACAAAGCAAACAGAATTGTTACATTTATATTAAACAACGAATACCCATACTTCGAGAATATTATACTAACAACAACGCCATGCTCCAACCCGTTTGAGCTCTTTACCGCCTGTGCACAATCTCACTACAATGGAGTAATGGTGTGGCAGTCTATATATCTATCTATGTGAGAGAAGTAATAAATACAATGATGCCATTGGTTGTGCTGAAATACAATATCCCAATGACAGAAGTGGTGATTAAGACTTATGGAATATTACGCCATCTATTGAATGGTATTAAAAACAAAAACCCATAAAATGTTTCACACTTTAGGTATTCAAGATGCAGACAATTAGAAAAATAACTATGGTATGTACAACAACCATTTCTTTATTACAGAACACAGTTTGAAATAAAAGTGCTTTCCTCACAACAAGAACACGACTTTCAATAGGACTGTACGTGAAGGTATAATTATATCTTTATTGATGTAATTTTTATATTTAGTATTGAAGAACAGGAATTCTTAAAAAATAGTTTTTCAATAAAGAGTAACACTTTTAATGTATAAAAACATTATAGTTTATATCAGTAAGATTTACGAAAACTTTGAGCTCTGTACGTTGGCTCATTTTGATGCCAAGAGTTGCATAAAGAGCACAATTCTTTCCATAAAAATACTTTTTAAAGAATGTTCACTATTTTACAGTTTCTTACAATGAGATATGAACACTAATTACTAGCATAAACAGCCGCCATCATTCTTTTTTGCTTGTATTTTTGGGTTCTTAGAATTTAGACCCCCAGTGACACAGCGGCATCTCTGCGGACTTACAACGCTAGAATCCGGGTTTCGATACCCGTGGTAGGCAGAGCACAGGTAGCCCATTGTGTAGCTTTGTGCTTAATAACAAACAAAAACAACAACCTTCAGGAGCGCCCCCAGCGGCACAGCGGTATGTCTGCGGACTTACAACGCTAGAATCCGGGTTTCGATACCCGTGGTGAGCAGAGTACAGATAGCCCATTGTGTAGCTTAGTGCTTAATAAAAACTTGTTCAGATCAGGAATTTAGTATTTCAAAGATGTAGATATTCTTTGTACTTAAAGTAATTGGAAAACAAAGGAATATGAATCAACTTGGGAGACCGTCCAGAAAAAGACCTGCAACAAATCGTACACCAACTATGGTCAGCAAAGTTTTGCAGCCGGTGTGACCGGCACTACTGAAAGATAATTATTTAAAATTTCAGGATATTTCACACAGATCAACAACTCGTAAAGATTTACGTGAGAATAAGGAATTGAGGCAGAATTGAATGTATGTACAATTAAAACAGACAATATTTATTAAGTTCGTGTTACTTACAATGTTATTAGCGTTATTTTTCATGATTACTATACACTTCAAGTATAAAACACTTCTTGCAAACTGTGGCTTATAAATAGCCTTTAAGTTTAGGAAACATAAAATCCAAATTACATAACAGTTGAGGCTCGTTCCATAACAGAATGAACAAGATAGACTTAAAATTCTCCAAACTCTCATTGGGCTTTCTTTAACAGCGATCTAACCTTAGCTTTTATACAAGTTTGATGGCTGTGTAATCTAGGATATTGGTGGGCAATATGCACTTTGGACTAGACTGGCGACTGTGCGATAAAAGTGGTTTATGTTTGTGTTCTCCAATGCTTCATTCACCTCTAACTTTTTTATACTAATTGTTTTCAAAATTTAATGTGATTTCAATGCGAACATTGCAAGTAAGTCCTACTAAACGTACTACCATTTATTTTGAATCAATTTTCAGCCGCGGCATAACGGCTCATAGAATTGGCTCTGAGTTTTAAAGTACAAGCTTTTAGCTCATAGCTCCATCATCTTTTGACCGAGTTGAGATCTATTTACAGTTTTGGACTCAAGAGGTCAAACCCTTTCGATTGATATATATATATGATCATAGATGAATTTACTTTAATCCTGCTTAAAATAATTTAAAGTTGAGATAGGCTGGTAGAGATTCTGATGAGTAATAAAATCGAATCGGGTATATGTACACCCCACGCTTAGTATTGCTGGCGCAACAAATATAGCTAATTAAAAGGAAAAAAATGTCTCATAGATTAATTTACTCTAATCCTGTCTAAAAGAATTTCAAATGCCTTAGCTATTGAGGATGCACTCTTGTTTCTTTGTGTTTTATTATTAATTTAATTTTCTGCCTTCCGATTTTTGAACGTATATCATAGGTAAGAATCCACAGACACAAAGCTCAGCAGCAGAAACCGTCCAGACAATAGTGCTAACATAATGAAGAAGAATCTTTGTCTGGAAAAGTAACACAAGTCACACGTACGTAAGTTGCTACCACAGCATATCCATGAAAGGAAGACCAACTGTATGAACAGTACCTAACCATGCAAAAATAACACTCGACGAAGCATATTTGAACTTTAATAACTGTAACAATTCTTGTGCCAATTTTTATCAGTTAATGAACGAAAAAAAAAAAACATCCAAAAATGCTGGATATTGCACCAGAGATAAGTTGGTGATCAGGAGAGTGGACAGAAAAGGACAAGGTTACCCTTTGTACAATTTGTTTTTCGCGTAAAGCTACACGAGGGCTATCAGCGCTAACCGTCCGTAATTTAGCAGTGTAAGAATAGAGGGAAGGCAGCTGTGTATGGCGAATGATTTTATGACCTGCATGTTCACTGGACTTTTCAGTTTCATCAAGAATGTGTGGGATACTTTTAGAAAAAACTCAAAGAACTCTTGAAATATTTCTTTGTGTTTCTATGTTGCTTTTTTATGTACAACGTGTTCCGTGCGAGACGGTAGGTTTTTCATTTTGAAGAACTGACTAGGCATTGTCAATCGTGATGACAGTTTATTTTTCATTAAAGACTAAGAGGTGAACTGTGTGTTTTTTTGTAAAGTTAGTTCCTTACGACTAACAATATTCATTGTTATATACCCGATGGCAACCACCTTCTTTCTTCTCTTAAACGCCCCCAAGTGACACAGCGATATGTCTGCGGACTTACAACGCTAGAATCAGGGTTTCGATACCCGTGATGGGCAGAGCACTGATAGTCCATTGTGTAGCTATGGGCTTAATTACAAAAAACAGGCAGCCCTCTAGCCCCCCAGTGGCACAGCGATATGTCTGCGGACTTACAACGCTAGAATCAGGGTTTCGATACCCGTGGTGGGCAGAGCACAGATAGCCCATTGTGTAGCTTTGTGCTTAATTAAAAACAAACACTTCATATTTATTTTAAGTAGTACTAATAGTTTAGTACTTGTGTACCCTCAGAACGAGAGAAGTTCAAACCTTTGCAGTTCATACGACAAATGACAAAATTCTTGAATTGATGCGTTATTATTTTACTCTATAGAGTGTCGGAAAATGTGAAACGGTAAGAAATGAAGATTCATTTAAATTTTTGGATTTTTACGTTTTATTATGTGTGGAATTATGTCAGGAATTATACGAAATCTGAACTGAAGCATCTGTCATTTAATTCCACTGAGTATCAGGTGGCTTTGTTAACTAATGTATCAGATCACAAGCTACAAATAAAGACCTTTCATTATAGATCTTGGTATATGTACGGTATTACACGTGGTCAGATTTATAGGTCAAATCTATCTTGGATGAAACCATTTCTATCTATTTAAATCGGTTGTATACTTCACTAAACCTGCCATTTTTATATTTCCTCCTCTTTGCCAAACTGACTGCCTTATATTCTAGCGAAATCATAATGCATCAATTTTCGATGAAGAAACTACGACGGACAGACCAATTTACTAAAACTTAAAATATTCATCAAAACCCAAATATATAAAACGACCTAAAAATAAAGCTCCGCATATTGAGTTCCAAACCGGCATTTATCAAAACGACTAAAGAAAAAAAGATTTAACCAATAAATGATTAAGGCTTAAATTAATCTTAAGCTTTATCCATTAACTTATTAAAACTTAAACATTCAATCCTAAGAATTTAATCATTTAACCCAAAATCATAAATAAAAATGTCTTTCTGCTTCGTTGGATATAAAAGTTTAAGTTCTGACTTTTTCAGTAACAGCCCAAGAAGTGAGTAAATTTTAAACAAGAGTTAGCGGTGAGTCCCCATGGTGTTTTCTCACTCGTTGGTTTGTACAATAGCTAAACGTGTGTCCCACTATGTTGTTGTTGTTTTTTCAGGATAAGCCTATGAATCTTTTTTAACCACCTATAGTTTTATTTAGTTCAAAGCGTTAAATGTTTCATTCGCTTTGAAAATGTTACTTTTGTGTGTGTTTTTTTTAATGAAAATAAATGATTAGCTTTGACCCTTGTTATCCTTGAAAAACAGAAGAAGGATTCCTAGCACAATCTTTGTAATATATGTTTGTTTGTTTGGTTTATTTGTTTAGAGCAAAACCACATTGGTCTGTCTGCTGTGTCCACCGCGGAGAATAGTTCTCATGCACTAGACTGACTTCCGAAAGTTACAGCGAGAAGGGCTGTGCTTTGTTGAGATGCACTTACTCAACCTCTATAGAAGCTTCGTAGAGAGACGTGTATAAATCAATATAATATTCACTATTGAAAATTGAATTGTTACCCCATATCATCAGAGTAATCTTAATTATTGGATTGGCACAGTACTTGTGTAAAGCGATATATCAGCAAGAATCTAATTACTTCTAGACTGTTTAATGGATCTTTAGCAATTATTCTTGTGTAAAACGCAACTCTAATTCTCTTAATAAAAGCAAACTGATTGAATATAACGTTACAGTACAAATAATTAATCACCTGTGCTTAAATATGTCAAGAACATTCATATAGGTCCACAGTCTAAAGCAGTATCAGCAAAAGTTTATACAATACAAATGTCAAAACCTGGTGACAGATTTCTTCTTAAAGAAAATACGTTTATCTATCTAATAATCATACGCCAGTTTACTTAAGTCTTAGAATAAATAATATAAATTACGCACAGCTACAGCTTTTAAAACGCAGTCTTTTTCAACAGTCATATCCCCTGGTGGCTCATGCAGGAGTCACAGCTCAGATAGCCAGTTTTCCACGTTGCTTTGCGCCATTAAGGTCCAACCAACGTGCAGCTTTGCGCTAAAACAAATAAACAGACGATCGACAACCGCATAACTCTTTAATGTACACCAGCGGTTCCACCACGTTTTTCAATGCCGACCCCATTTCAGACATCCCAAATCTGCGAGATCCCATCTGTTGATATTTTTTAGCGCCAAACTCACGATCCCATCAGAGCCTGCCGCGACCAAAGGTTTGGAATCACGGATCTAAGCCTGCCACGACCAAAGGTTTAGAATCACTGATCTAAGCCTGCCACGACCGAAGGTTTGGATATGACTGATATAAGCCTGCCACGACCAAAGGTTTAGAATCACTGATCTAAGCCTGCCACGACCAAAGGTTTGGATATTACTGATATAAGCCTGCCACGACCAAAGGTTTAGAATCACTGATCTAAGCCTGCCACGACCAAAGGTTTGGAATCACTGATATAAGCCTGCCACGACCAAAGGTTTGGATATGACTGATATAAGTACATAAACCTTTCTTCAAATGTATTCCTTCGAAACTACCGTGAATAGTAGAACTCCCTATTAATAAAGGAAATGTAAACATAACCAATTATTTCATGGAATCATATACATTGTCATCCATTTTAACGAGAAACAAAACGGCTTAAGCTTCAGGCTCTTTGAGGAGATATATATATGTATATAATTCACGATTCTATATGGAAAGCATTAATCTAACTGACCTAAAAACCAAGTGAAACGACATATATTTCAAACGAAAACTAACAGAAAAACTATCAAAATACTTGCTTCTTTTTAAAGATTATTATAACTTTTTTTTGCAATACTTAAGTCAATTAAATTAAAGATACTGGGTATAGGTTATACGATTTTAAAGTCTAATACGGTAATCGTTATGAGTTATATATTGATCTGAAAAATAACTAAACTGTTCTACAGAAGAAGGTTCATAGTAGTTTGTCATATTTTCAAACTAGCTTCTGAAAAATGTTCTTCCGTGTTAATTTGTTATTTACATTGACATTTTAGTAGATAATGATGGTAAAACAATATTATGTAACATAAATGTGATGGAAAATGGAAATATAAAATGGTTTACCATGCTATAGGAGAATAAAAACAACAAAACTTTGACCAAACAACTTTCATAATTATCACTGCTTGAGTTTCTTTTAAACCGTTGTATTTGTTCATCAGTCGTAGTATCTGTGAGATAAAGAGAAAATGCTTCAAATCGTTAATTTTGGTATCTTATGTTTTATATATTTCAAAAGATTAAAAATTGCAGGAAATCGTGAGGAGAAATTTGGAAACAAGATATTGTTTAATGTTTGAATTTTTGTCGTTTTGTTTGG